GCACCGGTGACGGCCCGGGCTGGGGCTCGCAGGAGCGCTGGGCTGGGGGCTGCGAGGACCCGGCTTTTCCTCATTGCCAGGGGTGGCTTCCTCCTCTTCCTCGGGCTGCTCTTGGGGTCCAGCGGCTGCAGCCGGCGCGGACGCCAGCCCGCATTCCGGGCTGACCAGCAAGAGCCAGGCTGGAGGGGCGGACGCTGTCCCGGGAGCATCGCACTGGAACTGGCAGGGGCCCCGGGTGACAGCCTCCACCCAGAAGAGCGTCCTCCTCTCCAGGCTGAAGTCGTGCTGCTGAGAGAAGGCTCCGTGAGGAGTGAGGCGGGGCCCGGCAAACCAGGGCTCCCCGGACCCTGTTCAGCCAGAGACTTGCCAGACCTGCACAGCCTCCAATTCTGAGCCCAGGCAGCCAGCACAGTCCACCCGCGCCCTCCGTTTTAGCTAGCACTGGGGTAGGTGGACAGCAACAATGTACAGGTAAACTCTGCATGAAGGACAAATGCAGAGAAATCTAATATCTAAGTCCTTTGCCATTTAGTTTGCTACTGAACAGTAGTAGCAGCTTAAAAACTTGCTCAAGGCGCCTTCCCTTGAGCCCAGCACCGTTTGCCAGTAGGCACTCAGCCTTGGCAGCCCGCCAGGCACAGAACCTCCCTGTGGGGTGATATCTGCCCCATCCTCCTGGCTGCTATCTGAGGTTGCTTGGGACCCAGGCAATATAAAACGTGCTAAGCTTTGTTGAACCCTACGTAGTCGGTTTAGTGTTATTCCTATTTCCAGATTATGAAAATGAGGCTCAGCAATTTTAATTTGCTGGAGGTCAGCTTGGAGGTGAGTGGCTGAGCTGGGATTTTTCTGTCCATCTGACTGTAGGGCTTTATCCACTACATATAAGGCCACCTAAGAAAGCAGTCTGGAGCCCACATAAATAACCTAACTTGAGAGTTTATAAATGAGGCAAAAATAAAATATTCTGTCACATACCTTTAAAATTAAGAACCAGGAATATAACATGGCATTAAAAATATAAAAAAAATTTTAAGGGCAATTTCAATACTCTATGATGGCCATTTAAGGAAAAGAGAGGCTAGGGGAATGTTGTGTGTGAGGGAAAGGGGAGACAGAAAGACAGACAGATACAGACACGGGCACTGTTCCCTCCCACTTCTGACTGTGTGTGAGGGAAAGGGGAGACAGAAAGACAGACAGACAGACACAGACACAGGCACTGTTCCCTCCCACTTCTGATATGACCCTGCACTGGGGAGAGAAGCATAATTTAGCTGGTCCAGTGTGGCTTTCTGAGGTAAAGGACTGTGGCTTACTCCTCTCTGTATCCTCAGAGCTAGGGCAAGCCTGGCACGGAGTGGACATTTGTAAAGGTGTGCAGAATACATGGTTCGAGAAAGAGATTGGAGCAAAATAGATGAGTTGTGAAAAACATAAGAGGAAAAAGACAACTTCAGAACTGGTGAGACAGACTTGTGAAGAGAGAGACTAAATTAAAGAGACAGCCAGCAGGACTTCAGGGATAAAATGATATGAAGACCCAATAAAAATACCAACACTTGTGATTTCTGGAACTAAGCAAGATGATTCTAAAGTTCACATGAAAAATAAACAAATAAGAATAGTCAGAAAAACTCCCGGGACAAAAAGATAAGTAGGACTGGCCCTACAACTGTTTTATTGTATTATAAAACATCAATAATTAAAACTATGGCACTGGCACAGATAGTTTAAAGGTAGAGAATAGAAAGTCCAGAAATAGACCTTAATATCTATAGGGCTTTAGTAAATAATAAGATAGCATCTCAGGCAATGGGAAAAAGAGGAACTAATCAATAAATGGTGTTAGCTATCTGGAAGAAAATAAAATTAGATCCATTCTCACATTATATACAAAAAGAGAAATTCAAAAAAGATCAAAAATTCAAATGTGTGATATGAAACCATAAAAGTACTAGAAGAAAATAATACGGAGATCCTTCATAACATCAAGGGGGAAAGCCTTTCTTACTCAGAATCAAAATCCAGAAGCCATAAAAGTACACACAGGCACATGTCCAAAATCTGCATGGCCAATGTCATGAGCAAGGTCAAAGACAGGTGACAAACTAAGGGGGGGAGGGAATAGCACTCACACAGAGATAAAGGGCTAACTTTACTAATATAGGGAGTGCCTAAAAATAGACAAGAAAAAGACTCACAGCCCAACAGGAAAGTGGACAAAAGATAATATGGACAGTCCACAGAAAAGGAAATACAGATCTCTATTAAACATAGAAAAAGCTGCTCAACCTCACTCGTAATAAGAGAAAGTAAATAAGCAAAATAAAACTACACTGAAATACATTTGCCTGTCCCTTGGCAAAGACCCAAAGTCTGATACACTCTGTTGGGAGTATGGGAGGTACAGGCCTCTTGTACTTCTTGTAGTGTGCTGGTCGGGATATATATCAGTATAATCCCTACGGAGAACAATTTGGTAATGTACTTAAACAAATTCAAAAGGATGTTTGTATATACTCATTTCCTGTAGCATTGTTTGTACTGGCAAAAGACTGGGAAGAACCTGCCCTGGCCGGTTTAGCTTAGCTGGTTGGAATGTCAAAAGGTGGTGGGGCTGAGACCGGTATGGCTCAGTGGATGGAGTGTCGGCCTGCGGACTGAAGGGTCCCAGGTTCGATTCCGGTCAAGGGCATGTACCTGGGTTGCGGGCATTTGATCATTTTCTCTTGTTGATCTGGCTCATGTCTATTTGATTATCTGACCAGCTGAAAGCAATTTGAGGGTGGAGGAAAGTTTCTCCTCTCCCCTCCCCCTGACAAGGCCAACACCACATTTAGAAGTCCCTTTGCCGACACACAACATTTAGCAGTCAGTCTCTTTGCTGTCACACATAGAAGTGGCTTACAACAAGCACAACTATTTATCATGAATATTTTTCATCATAAGATTAAAAATTGTTAAAACAGAATAACTTTTTGAGAAAATCTTTTTACCCATGCCTGGATATCAGACTGAAAGAGAAAAAAAAAAAAAAAAAAAAAAAATTAATTAAAAAAGCACTGGGAAGAACCTAAGTGTCTATCAAGAGGGGACTCAGTCAATAAAGTGTGATGTATCCATATAGTGCAATACTTCAGTGAAAAACAAAACTGAAGAAGCTTTCTAGGTACAGATATGGAAGATCTTAAAATATATTAAGTGAAAAAAGCAAGAAGAACGGTGCATATAAAATGCTACCTTTGGTGTAAAAGGGGGGAAATATCTGTATTTGACTGTATATACACACATAAGAATCTCTAGAAGAATATATAAAAAATGAGTAACAGAGGTCATCAGTGATGGGGTGGAGGTGGGGAACAGGGCAGATGGGAAGGCACACTGCTGGAGGGCCAAACTGACCCCATCACCTTGATTTTGTAACTAAAGTGTTACTGAAACAGAGCCATGTCCAACCTCTCCTTCCCCTAAAACTCTGGCAATTATACTATGAAACAACAAAACAGACTCGGAGAGGCGTTAAGCACGTAAGGAAGGGCTCCTTGGGAAGGAGCAGGGTGAAGGGGTGGCATGGGCTTTGGGGTGTGACAGACCCCGGTGGGAACCCTGGCTGTGTCACTCACAGGCCCTGAGACCCTGCGGATCACTCGGTGGGAGCTTTGATTTCCTGTGCCGTGGGGTAGGAACACCCAGCTGAAAGAGTCATAAAAATGAGAGAGAAGAGTGAACATGTAAAGAGCACCTCGCATGGGCCTGGTGCACAGCAGGTAAACATTGACTGGCTCAATAAATGGTAGCTGTTATTACTTTTCCCTTTAGGGCACGACAGGTTCGTCGGGAAATCTAACCACCATGTATAACATCATCCTTATGGGAGACTCGGAGAGGCGTTAAGCACGTAAGGAAGGGCTCCTTGGGAAGGAGCAGGGTGAAGGGGTGGCATGGGCTTTGGGGTGTGACAGACCCCGGTGGGAACCCTGGCTGTGTCACTCACAGGCCCTGAGACCCTGCGGATCACCCGGTGGGAGCTTTGATTTCCTGTGCTGTGGGGTAGGAACACCCAGCTGAAAGAGTCATAAAAATGAGAGAAGAGTGAACATGTAAAGAGCACCTCACATGGGCCTGGTGCACAGCAGGTAAACATTGATTGACTCAATAAATGGTAGCTGTTATTACTTTTCCCTTTAGGGCACGACAGGTTCGTCGGGAAATCTAACCACCATGTATAACATCATCCTTATGGGGAAATGCATTTTAAGCTCTTAACACTGGGAATACAGCCCAGTGAACTGGAAGGACTGATCAGGGAGAGGCTGTAAATCATACTTGGAGTCTCAGGCTTCTCTATTTGTTAGTTTGGCCCAACAGTTAATGAAATGGGAGTTCAGGAAGGGAAATAGGCTTAAGGGATTGCAGGCGCCCACCCTGAAAGCAGGAGGCAAAGCCAAGTCGGCATCTGGCTAAGACACTGGACGTGGGCTTGGCAGAAGGGTGCCTGTTTCTGCTACCAGGAAAAAATAGCCTCTTCCCAGCTAGACTTGAGCTCAGCAGGAAAGGAAAAGCTGTGATAATCCACCTCCACTGGAGCTCAGTACAGCGAATTCCTCTTCCCAACAACACAAGCTCTCCTGCCAGAGTGAGCGCCCACAACACGGGCTGTGGGGGAGAGAGAGCAAGAGCTCCTGCCCCACAGCGAGTGCTCTGGGCTTCACAGAGCTTATTTCAACTCTGGAAACATCTGTCCTGAGGAGCCTCAGTGCAACTCCGGGGTCTGCAGATGGAGCAAAACTGCACCACACCTCCTGCTCCTGTGTCCCAGGCCACTCGAGCCCCTCTCCCCGACTCTCCCCAGGCCTCTCCTTTCTGATTGTGCTCTCTGCTGACTTCCCGCAACCCTTTGCCTTCAAACATCCCCTGTCCAGTGTCTCTCCTGTTCCAGTCCTGCTCTTAGCGAATAAAAAATGATCTGGAGTCAGGACCTGGGTTTTAGTCTTGCCACTAACTTTGCACAAATCATTTCCTTTTTCTGGGTTTCAGGTTCCTCAAAATGAGTGAGAGCTGATCTAGATTCTCAAACTTTTCCACGAAGCACCCTGCAGGCAGTGGAGAATGAGCACACAGGAGTCTGAACACTCGGTTCTAAGAGGCCCAATGCCAGCTCCACAGTTCTTTGCAATCTTATTCTTTCATTTTTATTTATCATTATTATTTTTTTAATATATTTTTATTGATTTTACAGAGAGGAAGGGTGAGGGATAGAGAACTGGAAACATTGATGAGAGAGAAACATCGAACAGCTGCCTCCTGCATGACCCCTATTGGGGATCAAGCCCACAAACAAGATACGTGTCCTTGGCCGGAATTGAACCTAGACCCTCCAAGTCCACAGGCCGATGCTCTATCCACTGAGCAAAACTGGTTAGGGCTTATTCTTTCATTTTTAAAGAATTCATGCGAATTTTGCATGCTACCCCATGATACATCTGTGTTCTAATGTGAATGCAATAGGTTCCCCCTAATTCTTTAAGTAAACTTGATTTTCCTGGAAGTTAAATAATCATGTTTATCCTGAGGCCACATGTGATATGACCACACACACTGGGTGCCTATCCCAGTGTGTGAGCCATGGGGCGAGGGGTGCTTTGAGTGCCTCTGGGGCAAACATGGGGAATAGTATTCCTTTCTAATGTGCCCCAGGTGGCATTTTAACAGAGGATTCTGGATCTAGTGTCTTAACCCTAAGGAGTGATTCTAATGGAATTTTAGATACGGCAGCAGAGAGGAACTGGAACATCGGTGCCATGATCCTCAGTCACTTTATGTAGGTGACCTTCCAGTTATCCTAGGCTAAAATAAGACCAGTAAATAATCCTCATCACCAGGCAACCAGCCTTCCTCATGAGACACCTTTCCCTCTTAGGTTCTTTCCAAACTCCCTGAAATATACCAGAGCAGGCCTAGCTGCCCTTTAAAATCAAGGAGCAAGGTCCCATGAGGCTCAGCATCAGGCCCACAGACCCAGGGACTAGGAGATACATAGATAGACAGACAGACAGACAGACAGAAATACAGAAATACACTTACCATAGAACCCAGCAGAAGCTCCCTGCAGGCTGGGACACTGAGTTCTGGCCCAGGGAGAAGCTCTGTGCTGGTCAGAAAGCCCTTGGGCACCTTGAAAGGGACACCGTCAAGGGCACTCATTCCGTCAGAGGAGTGTGGGGATGGCTGAGGCAGACTGCCTGATGGTAGCGGGAGAGTGTAGTCCTGAGGACCAGGCTCAGGCCTCAAATGGCCTCAGTGCTCTCCTGTGTGGTGACTTAGCTGAGTCCCACACAGCCAAGAAGGAAAGGTACTGTGGCCAGTGCTGCATAAGGGAGGAAACGGATAAAAACAAGACCATCCAAACGGACAGGGATTGACTATTTCATGTTTAAGTCTTATACTAGGGCATTGTTTACCAAAACAAGGTCTAGAACTCTAGTTCTAAAGTCTTGCATCAAAAGAGTTTTCACCCCCAAAAAAGTGTATATTTCTTGTAAACCTAATAAATATCAAAATCAGTGGGTTAAAATTAACAAGGAAGAGTTTTCACTCAAATGTTTAAGGAAAAAATATCAAATTACAAAAACTCTTCCAAAAAAGAAAAGAAGGAATACTTCCTAACTCGTTTGGCATCACCTTGATACCAAACTTGACAAGAAAATTAGACGCTGATCTCTCATGAACATAAATGAAAAAAATCTTAACAAAAATAATTATGGATAAAAAAATACTGCCAAGTTGAGTTTATTTCAGGAATGAGAGGTTGGCTTAACATTCCAAAATCAATCAATGGGAGTAAAGATAACCACCAATAGAATAAAAATTAAAAATTATATAATTATTTCTCTCCATAGATACAGAAAAATTACTTGATAAAATTAATATATTTTTATTATTTTAAGAACAACAAACCCTTTTAGCAACTTAGGAATAGAAAAGAATTTCCTTAACCGAATAAAAATAGCTCCAAAATATCTAAAGCAAACAACCCACTTAATGGTAAATACTGAAAGATATCCTCAAGATTGGAAATGATGAGACAAGAATGTCCCCATCATCTCTTCTGTTCAACATTACACTGAAGTACTAGCCTGTTAAAAAGAGAAGGGAAACAAATAAAAGTATGAGGATTGGAAAGAAAAAAACCCACCATTATTTATAGATGACATAATTATATGTAGAAAATCCAAAAGAATTTATGAGGGTTATTGGATATATGATCAATATATAAGAATCAATTATATCTCTATATACAAACAACAAACCATATGCTATATTTTAAAAATTTCAATCTCTAATGAAATTAAAAGATACCATTGATATTAGCATCAACTACCTAGGACTCAGTATAACACAAGATGTATAAGACCTCTACACAGAAAACTGTAAAATATTAGAATAAATGGAGGAACATACCACGACCATGATTGTAAGACTCAATATTGTAAAGATATCAGTTCTTCCTGAATTGATTTACAGATCCCACATATCAAAATTCCATCACACTTTTTGGTGTAAATTGGCAAACTAATTCTAAAATTTAAATGAAATGTAGAGGGCCAAGAAAAGTCAAGACAAACTTGAAGAAGAAGCAACACAGTTGGAAGATCTATACTTTTTGATATCAATCAAGACTTACTTTAAAGTTACAGGAATTAAAAGAGTGTTGTACTAACATGAGGGCGTATGAAGGGACCAATAGAACATAAAAGAAAATCCAGAGACATGTCTACACATATATAGATAGATCTTTGATATATGACCCTGCAGAGCAGTAGGAAAATTAAGGTATTTTTATTTATGTATTTAATCATCACCGAAGGATATTTTTTTCCATTGATTTTTTTTAGAGAGAGTGGAAGGGAGAGGGAGAGACAGAAACTCCGATGTGAGAGAGACACATCAATTGGTTGCCTCTGGCATGCCCCCGACCAAGGCCAGGTGGCTCCCGAGGTACATGCCCTTGACCGGAATCGAACCCAAGACCCTTCAGTTTGCAGGCTGACACTCTATGCACTACATCAAACCAGCTAGGGCTAAAAGTATTTTTAATAAATCGTTCTGGGTCAATTGGATGGCCACCTAGAAAAAAAAATCTTGACCTTATATCATACACAAAAATCAATTCTACGTAGACTATAGATCTAAATGTAAAAGGTAAAAAGGTAAAGCTTGAAGATAAATTGGAGAATATACTCATGGCCTTAGAATAGGCAAAAGTTTTTTAAACAGATTACAAAAAGGACTAACCATAAAGGAAAATATTGATAAATTGGGTTATATTAAAGTTAAGAACTTCTGCCCTAGCCAGTTTGGCTCAGTGGATAGATCTTTGGCCTGTGGACTGAAGGGTCCGGGTTCAATTCTGGTCAAGGGCATATGCCTGGGTTGTGGGCTCAATCCCCAGTCGGGGGCATGCAGGAGGCAGCCAATCAATGATTCTCTCATCATTGATGTTTCTATCTCTCTATCCCTCTCCCTTCCTCTCTGAAATCAATAAAAGTATATTTTAAAAAAAGATTTAAAAAAATAAAGTTAAGAACTTCTATTCATCAGAATATACCATTAAGAGAATTTTTAAAAATCAGAATGGGAGAAGATATTTGCAGTGCATGTATCTGACAAAGGATTCATATTCAGTATATACCAACAATTTCTATAAATCAATAAGAAAAAGAGCCAATACAAAAAATAGGAAAGAAAGTTTAATAGGCACTTCACAAAAGAGACTAGCCAATAGCCAATAAACATATAAGTTAATTTCATTAGCCATCAGGGAAATGAAAAATAAAGCAATGAGGTATCACCATACAGTTAACATTTTAAAAGCCTGATAATATCAACTGATGAGGACGTGGAAATATCTGGAACTCTTGTGCACTGTTGGTGAGAAAGTCAATTAGTGTTTGTCAACAGTATCTACTAATGCTGAAATCTAAGAATTAAAAACGCATCGACACATAGCATCTGGGCCTTTTGTCTAAGAACAAGTGAAGGATCTGTTAGTTTAATAATCATAATAGCCATGGATTTAATTTTTGTATTTTAAACATTAAATAAAGATTCTGTCACCTTAAAACACAAATCAGCACTCATTCACAGGAATTCAAGCTCATGACTGCCTATAATATGTAATCCAGACTCCTGACTGCAGTCTGTCATTTTGCAAACAATCAGGGTTTACCTAGGAGTACCTTTGGTTTAATAGAATCTGTCATCCCTACCAGCATGGTGCAAAGCCCGTAGAATTGATTTTTGTGTATGATGTAATATAAGGTCACTGGGGTCATCCCCATGCCCACATGAGAGCATCATATAAAGATGTAGAGTAGGTAATCTGAGTATAGAGAGGTCAAATGAGACTAGATGGGCAAATCCCTTAATCCCCTCATCTCCAAATGGTCTGTGTCCATTTGGCTGTGACTGAGCTTGAGGGCAAGGGGCAGGGTGGGTGGGGGTTATAGTAATCAGTCTACAGGGAGCCCAGGCAATGACATTAGTATTATGTTTAAAGGTCTCCATTATACTCTCTAAATGACTTCATCCTTGCCCATAACGTCAATAATCTATGTGCCAATGACTCACACATGAAATTCTCCAGTTCTCTTCTGAGATGAAACTCAAAAGCACAACTGCCTATAAGGCATCTCCTCCAAGATGTCTCCAGGGTGCCTCAAACCCAACATATCCAAAGTGAACTCCTGATTTTCCCTCCCCCAAACTGCTCTTCATCCCCCAGTTCTCTCTCACTTGGACCATTAGTGTCCATGTATCCTCTTATGCCCTATTATTGTAATTGTGTTCCACACACTGGACAAAAGTGATCACTTCAAAGCAGCAAACTAAGCCATTCCTAAAAGTTTCCAACAATTTCCACTGTTCTCAGAATCAAACTCAAACCCCCAACAAGGGCTTCCAAAGCCATGCAGAGCCTGGCCCCTCCCCTCTCCCCTCTCACCTCTCACCTCTAGCTATGTTGACCTTCAGGCTCTTTAGTCTCTTGGTCTAGCACAGGGCTCTTGCATAGGCTATTCCAGATACTTGCTATGTTCTTCCTTGTCTCTTCCCAACTAGTTAATAGCTGTTCATTTTTCAGAGCTCAGTTGAAACATCATTTCTTCAAAAAAGCTTTCCCTGACCCCCAAACTTGGATAGGTTCACTTAGTATGGTGGCTTTCAACTTTTTTTTTTTTAACTGTGACCCACAGGATAAAATATATTTGACTTTGTGACATAGCATATACATATGTAAACTGAATAATGAAATTTCTTACCCTTATTATATGATATAGATATTTTCTTTATTTCATCTAAATGCATTACAGCCCTGACCAGTTTGGCTCAGTGGATAGAGCGCCGGACTGCGGACTGAAAGGTTCCAGGTTCAATTCCAGTCAAGGGCATGTACCTTGGTTGCTGGCACAACCCTGGTGGGGAGTGTGCAGGAGGCAGATCCATGTATCTCTCTCATCGATGTTTCTAGCTCTCTATCCCTCTCCCTTCCTCTCTGTGGAGAATCAATAAAATATATTTTTAAAAAAATAAATGCATTACAGAACACTCAGTTTGAGAAAAAAAAAAGGCCTAATCTTATAGAACCATATCTGTCCTTCAAAGCACTCAGCACATTTTTATGATTATTGGATTATGTCTATCTCCCTCAAAACGTGTGTTAGGGTGTATTTGGTATTTTGCTCATTGCGATAGCCCTTGTATTTGACAAATTATCTGACCCTCAACAGTCACTGAGTAAATATTTGAATAATGAAAAATATAAATTGGTGAGTAAGCACTTTTAGCACTTATTACCATTGTAACTGACTCTAATTATCTGAACAGTCATTGGGCTTCTCTACTCTAACTCCAGGATGGCAGGAATCCTGTTTGCTCCTTTTTATGTTTGTAGCACTTAACATCATACCTGGAAAATGGTAAATCAAAATAATTTCCCAAGTATATGGTTCAAATCCAGGTATCTAGATTCTGTCAAGCACGAGTTAATAAAGTTGAGAAGTGTCTCCTGTTCTGTATAGTTATGCACTTCAACACCAATCACCTCAAAAACTTCAATCTTTGCTTCAGAGACTATAAGAAATGCAGCTTATTCCAAAAGTAAACAGTTAATTATTCAGAAATAGCTTACTGGTTACAAGCATTAAAAAGAAAAAAAGATTAAGTTGGAAATGCCTCATATAATCTCTAGCCCTTACTATATACCAGTGCTAATACTTTACAGCATTCACATTCCTGCTATATATTATACTTGTTTGAATGGAACAAGACATGCTTTGTACTTACCTTGTTAATTCCCAGGATAGCTTCCCTGTGGCAAAACTCATAGAAGTGAGTGAATTGCTACAACAGATGGTATAATCCCAGCTAAACTTCTTGATATATCCTTGCACAAAAGTCACGTGGACAAGAAACATGAATGGTTTTAGAGTGATTAAGTTGGTTGGCTTATACCAAAGTCTTTGACGTCATAAACTCAGCCACTGGGATTAACACTCTTAGTATTAATGTATAACTAACCTCTTTATTTAATTTTCTCTTCTTCCCTGTATTTACTTAATTTCTTAAAAATAAATTATTTTGTTAAAGCTTCTCACAAGTCCAGGGTCGTCTCTACTGGAAAGATAAACAATATTCTTGCATATAAGACATGATGACTCAATACATTTATGGTTAGTTTTTGAGTGAGTTTCTCTATTTTCATTCATTTTTGTTCAATACATAGAGCATTTATGTATAGGTGTTAAAAATGCATGATTTAGAAGAGAGCTGGAGACTCAACAGAACTGTAGTTCTTAGTTCTAACAGAAAAAAAATAAGAACTGACTAGCAATGATCAGCAATAACAATGAGCCCCCTATCATGCAGGTTGTGGCCTGTAAATGCCTTTTCCACTGAAGATTGCAGTCATTTCTTCCACTGGGGTAGGAAATGTGAAAAGTAAATTTGGAGAATACTGGGATCGAATGGGAACTAAGGAGCTGAGTTAAAGAGACTCCCATTGGCTCAAGGTGACAAACAATAAAGAAAACAATAAAATGAGTTGAAAGATAAATATGTTTAGATCGGAATTCATAACGAAACTTGACCACAAAATTCACTAGTCATGCTTGGACAAGGCTAGGAAACCACTATTTTGAAAACTAGTAAATCAAGGAAATTACATATTATCTCTTGTCTTTCCTATGCAAATTGTACCTGAGGATAACAAAATAGTTGGTGAGGGGATATTTCTCCTTTTAGAAGTATTCCAGCTAATAAAGAAAGAATGGCAGAATTAAACTATTTGGCAACCCCAAATGCAACTTGATTATCAATGACTGTTAAGGCTCCAAAAAGAGACAACCAGACATTAGTCCTCCTAAATTACACACCAGGTCTATGAAATAGTCTTACCAAAATATTCCAATCTAAGTGTGATCAAGTCTCTAGATCAGCACTGTCCAATAGAAATGTGAGCCAAATATGTAATTGTACATCTCAACTCAAACCCAATTTCAATTCAAACTCTCAATTTCTAGTGCCCAATAGCCATACACGGCTACCATATCAGACAGTACAGCTCTAACCACTAAATTATAAGAAATACAGAACAGAGGAACATGCTACCCCAAGGATGCGATTAGCAAAATCCAGACTGGGAACTTCAAGGAAAAAAGGACCTGATTTTTTCAAGCAAAACATTACAAGGGAGAGAAAGAGTGCAAAGTGCATGGGATTAAGTTTCTAAAGATCATCAGAAACTTAACAGACATATCACCCAACAATGCATAGACTGCATCTACATCTTGATTTGAACAGTGTAAAACACACATTTGTGAGATAAGGAAATTTGAACACTGATTTTTTTCTGCTATTAAGGAGTTATTCGTTGTTAGGTGTGATAGAGCACTGTGGTTACTTTTTAAAAACATCTTTTAGAGCTATATACTGAAAAACGTATAAAGTAATATGATGTCTGGGATTTGCTTCAAAATAATCCAGAGTGAGTGGTGGGGTACAGATGAAACAGGCTTGTCCAGGAGTTGACAATTATTTGAAGCTGGATGATGGATATATGGGGGGGAAATTATATTATCTTTACTTTTGAGATGTTTGAAATTTTGCACAGTAATTTATTATTGTTAATTTTTATTATTATTAATTTTAGATAGGAAGGGAGAGAGAAACATCAATGTGAGAGAGATACACTGATTGGTTGCCTCTGTACACACCCTGCCAGGGATTGAACCTGCAAGCTAAGTATGTGCCCTGACTGGTAATCAAACTGGCGACCTTCCGGTGGACAACACTCCAACCCAGTCACACCAGCCAGGACTGCACAATTTTTTAATAAAAGACTGTGGGATAAGATTACAATGGCACTGTTCATATTCTCAGAAGAATCATTTGTTAAAGATACCACTATAAGTCTTTCTTTCTAAGCCTATAAAGTACCAGTGCCTGCTGCCACCACCACTGAAGGCAGCAAACCAAGAAAAACTTACAAAATAAAAACCAGACAAAGAAAACACTCGCTTTATTAAAACACTGAAGTTGCCAGAGGAAAGAGGGAATGGTTTTTCCCACCTGGCATTAAACACCTTTTCCTTGGGTTGTGCTGCCTGAGTTTTCCTGAGTCCCTGCTTTACCCTCCCTGACCCATCAATGCAGATGTCTTAGTGGCAAGGCTATCTGGACACCAAACATACAACGTACTGTACCAGTCCTCTTTTATTTCTATGTTCCTGCACCTCATCAGAGAGCAAATGGTGGAGATGTATCCCAAAAGGGCACACAAGCCTATGGGGTCAAGTGAAGCTAATCACATCAGATTTCAGATTATGAGCTTAGACACACTTTGGAGGAGTGCTGGCTCATATACTGTTAACTCTGTAATGCACACTACATAAATTTAACAGTGTAAATTAAACAATGGAAAAGGACAAAGGTTTTAGCATCTTGCACCCAACAGCTTCTGATGATATGAAATCATTTCTAAGGTTGATGGCGTCCTTTCCTGCCTACCTGGCGTTGGGTTCCACAGACAGAGTTCGGTGGTGTAGATTCACTCTCCTCTAGCAAGTGCCTATTTAATAAACTTGAATTTTAGATTGAAAATGTGTCTTATCAGTGTGAAAATGTGTACAGTGATTTGGGAGTCAACAAAGAAAGGCTCAAACTAAAAAATAAAAATATTTATTTAGGTTTTTGGAAATATAAATAACAATAAATGACAAAAGGCAAAGTAAAACAGAAAAACTAACATGTTATATCACTGATCATCTCCAGGCACAAGAGCATTTATTAATGAATATAAAAAAATAAACATTATTTTTATCTGCTTTCCCCCCAGCTTTAACTACATGAATATTCCTAAGAAATTCCACAGTTATACCGGCCCCTTCTGAGTACATGAGGTTAAGGTCCTACTCCCATAGGGAAATAAATTTCTATCCTTAGGGATTCTGAACAACTAGACCTCTAGGAACTTACAAAGCAGTTCCTTTCATTAGGATCCTTCTAACATAGGGAGAATGCAGCCGTCACCCATTAAAACACGATCCAGTGTAGGTGTAGGTACTCTTCAGGTGTCCTGAGTTCTCCAAATGAGTACCCGACTAAGCCACCAGCTTTACTCCAGCCCAGCCTGCGGCCCACAGCCTCTCAAGCTGCACCAAAAGTGGGCTTCCCAGATAAAGCATCTTTCCCCTTTCTTCCTGGAAGTTAGAGGGCTACACGGGTAGGAAGGATATGGAGGTTTTGCATCAAGCTTGCCTTCACACTCTGTACTGGGGGAGAGCTACTAAACTACCCAGAGCACACCTGTGTTGAGTGTTTGGCATGTACTTACCCATTGCCACACAGGAAATTGAGTAAATTAGCCAGTCACTCTGGACCAAGCTCCTCAAAACAGAGGCAAATTCAGTGAGCCAAGGCATGTGGCAATAGCCCCAGTCCACCTAGGTCCTTTCCAAAGAACCATATTAATCTGATTCCAAAGCCCATTTGGCCAGGACAGAGCATGGTAGGAAAATGGAACTTCTGGGAAGGGCCATGCCATGTGGAGTTTACAGGTTGTTGTTTGGTCTGCAGCACAAGAAGATGGCAGCATCACTAATGTTCAGAGCTGGAGAGAGCATTGCCTGGTCCACACTCCTGGAGCGTTTTTACTAATGCAGCTTAATGGCAGTTGCCCAGATGTCGTTGCTGGGAAGCGGCGGAAGGACCCATCCTTGGGGAACAGAGTTGCCTTCAGGATGATCAGATGGCACCAGGTACTGATCCCAATCGTGCCTTAATAGGAAATTATAAAACAACTGTTTATTTCTGTTTTAGTCCAAGCAAGATGTTCAGCAACTAAATATTCTATTTCAGGACTTACCTTTTCAAGGACTGATGTACTAAAGAACTAGATCATCAGGGATTATGCAAAAGACTGCATTTCTTAAATATACATATAAAGGGGGGAAAACTCCAAAGAACTTATAGTCATTTAAAAAAATGTTTTTATTGATTTTAGAGAGGGAAGGGAAGAAAGAGAGATAGAAACATCAACGAGGAGAGAGAGTCATTGATCGACTGCCTCCCGCATGCCCCACACTGGGGATTGAGCCCACAACCCGGGCATATGCTGAGAATCGAACCACGACCTCCTAGTTCACAGGTTGACTGAGCCACTCTCATCACTGATGTTCCTATCTCTCTCCCTCTCCCTTCCTCTCTGAAATCAATAAAAAAATATATTTTAAGAAAGATATACTAAATGAGGTGTCTTTAAAAAGAAATACACATAAAACAATGTTATGTATTGATCAGTTGACAAAAATGTGGCCAGAGGCCCACAGAAACCTAATCATATATTTCCTTTAGGAGCAGCAGCCGTTCAGTAGTCTCTAATTCAGTGTTTGTGGCTTTATAGAACACAGCTACTGTAAATAACAAGAATTGACTGTAGTTATGTTTAGAAGCTAAAACTTGTATATTAGCCAGAAATGCACTTTCCCCAGACATCAACTTGGTGTGCAAAAGAGCATTTTGGAGCTTTGGAAGGAACCTTAGACATCACTTAGGTCCGTGATTTTGAAGACCCCTGAGCCCCAAGTAGATGCTCTGGGAGTCTAGAAACAACAAAGTGCTTCCTATCAATAACAGATTTAAGTTACCTGTGGAACCCATTCATTCATTCTGTTTTATAAACTGATTTGTCCAAAGACTGCATTTGGGAAGAGTACTACTGCCCAAGTTTGAAGGCCACATTCTAGTCCACCACCTTCATTTTATAGGTGAGGAAAGTGTGAGACCCAGAGAGCTGCAAAGTATAGCTCCTTATTAACCGCATGTAAAGATGAGACTCTCTGTTCCTCGCTCTCTTGACTCTGACCTCTAAGAACTCACAAGTCAGCAGCACGGGTCTTAAACAGTCTCCACAGGCAAGTACACAGGGAGGGTCTGTTTAGCAGCAGAAGAGAACTAGGAAAGGTAGCCAGTGCTTTAAGTCAACGTAACAGCACAGCCTGGGAGAACACAAAAGGGCAAGTCACACCTGAGTTTGTTTCTTCACCTGTTAAAATAGGGACATCTATTTCTCAAGGATGAGTGAGGACTAAACAGATGTTTGTGGCATCCCTAACACTTGGAAACTTTATATAAATCCATGAGAAATTTTAAAAAAAAGATACAGGCGACATGGAAAGTGCCCCTCTGACCTTATTTGGATGAGTGCTGGCAGGGAGTGCTCAGCTTGGAGGTAATACTGTCGGAAAGGCTGCAAGAGGTGAGCGAGCGGGAACTCATCTGAAAAAGAAAAGGCACAATACCACACCATCACACTTCCTATCCAGAGTGTATTTCTCAAGGCAAGATGACTGAGCCTATGATGACAATATGATCAAATGTGTTTCATCTTTATCCCTGATTTCCAGGATATAGTTTAGTCATTGTTGCCTACCAATCTCTTAGCTTAGGTTGAGGTCACCCATGAGAATAAGTCAATCTAGTATTGTCCTTTTCTCCCCTGGTTACAGAGGAACTTACCTGGATCTCCAAATAACTTGGACTCAATTTCCCGCTTCTGCAATAAAATTTTCTCTTTTTCTTTTCTCTGTTTCTTTTCTAGTTCTCTCTTCCTCTCTTCCTCTTGTTCTCCCTCCAACATGACTCTGAGGGCTCTCTCTTCAGCTTCATATAGTTCAGAGCGTTTTTTAATGAGTTTTCTCAGTCGCTGAAGATGATGCTCAAAAGTCTCATCTGCTGAGGCTGGAGGACAGACCCCTGGGCAAAGAGATGCAAATGGCATTTTAGTTAACTTTTTCTTATTTCCAGATCTGTGTTCTAATGAGCCAACTCAAAGTCCTACTTATAGTATGAATTTGCTTAGCACTTATAAATTCTAATCCCTCTTCACAGATCAATTTGAATCTGCAATTAATCTGACCCCACCCTGACTTTCTTTTTTCTCTAATTCCTCTTTCTGGAGACTACCACTTAACTTTTGATTTTGTTTCTAAAGGTTTTGACCCTGCAGTTGGAGAGTGGGCTCCCAAAAGGAAAAAAACTGTCTTATATTCTTCATTTTGAAATTCCCACTGCTAATAAACAATTCTCCCTTGAGTGTGAAGTTCTGGGAAAGCACATATGGATACTGAGAAGAAATACATTTAACCAACCACACTGGCCTCACAGTGTGCTGCTGAGAGCAGGTGACCAAATGTTTCAGTTTGCCCGGTCTTAGCACTTGAAAACCCAGTGTCCTGGGAAGCCTGGGATGGTTGGTCACCCTGATTTAACTGTGAGATCAGCTAATTGTATAGCCAACATAGCTACAGCCACAACTGGGGACATTTTAGACTAGTTATTAGGTGATATGCAAGAATTATTACTAATTTTATGTGATAATGGCATCGTAATTGATGATGAGTAATTTACTTAGGCATTCTATTTTTGTACACATGTGAAAGTTTTCATAAAATTTCATAAGGAAAACTTTTTGAAATTTATTGAATATTCAAGTAGGTTGCAATAGTGACTCACTACCATAATGGCCCTGCAATAAAAAAGTTGCCGAAGCTGCTAATTCATCCTAGAGTGATGTGTGCTCAATCCTATTAGTCCTTAAAGGTTTTAAAGGAAAATGTATGTATTGCGGCAGTATTTTAACAATACCAGATACATGGAAGAAAAAAATCCTAATTCTGCTAACATAATCAACCCTTTTTATTTCCCCATGTTGATCCTCCAGCCATTTTTGTCCATATATTAGCAACTTCACATAGTTTAATGTAAAATGTGTGTAACTTACATATCTCCATGTCAATTCTCTACTTTTTTTCCCTCTCCTTATAATTATTTAATGGCTCCATCCTGTTTCACCAAATCAATGTACCTACCATAATTTACTTAATAAGCTCTCTCGTCCTGGACAGTTAGGCTGTTCCAAATGACTTGTTATCATATAATGCTACAATGAATAATCTTAGGCACCATGGGGCCTCATCCGGTCTTTGGACCATGGCATAATGAGAAAAAACTTTCCACCCTGAAATCTTAAACCCAAATATTCTCTTCTCTGACAACTTCCTACCGTTTCAGTATTCTCACCTTCTTCTCCCTCAAGATTCTGTGAATTTCATTAAAATCTCTCATCGAATGTATCAGATTCCACCCATCTTCTATTTGTTCTCACCAAAACTTGTAGTCACCCACAAAGCAAAACCCCAACAGCCCAGTGCTCTGTGCTCATGTGCTAGCTGTAGAGTGCTCCCGGAAGAAGCCATTTGATTACTGGCCTGGTGCCAGTATACAGTTACATCAGCTGGGCCCATAGGACCTTCCTGCAACCACACTGCCATGGGTCTCTGCTTGGCCCTCACTGACTGCTCATTTCACCACTCTCTGAAAGTCCTACTTCTCTATTGACTCTCAGAGCAAACCCTCTAATCTATTTCCCGGAGGAGACAGGCCACCAGGAAGGAAAATTCCTTAACGTTCTGCCCCCAGTTCCACTCATCTGCATTACTACCCTTCATTGTCTCCTTCATTTCATTCTAGTAGAAGATGGTTCTTCTCCACTTAAGTTAATCCCTCCACCAGGGACCTGAATCTGACTACCTCCTCCAAGACCTTGAGCCATCAACTATTCCTCTGCTTCTCATTGATCTTTCTCCCTCTATTCATACTCACTCCTTGGCTCAGGATTTAAACATTTTCAAGTTTTTCCCATGACCCTAAGCTAGCACCCATTACCCCATCCCCCCGCCCCCTCACATACACACACACATACACACACTGGCGGATGCTGATCTTATACTCTCCTTTTCTTCACAGGCAAATGTTTAATGAGTTGATCTCACTGTCTGCTTTTCTTATGTCCTACTTCGTCTTTACTCTACTTTAGTCGGGCTTCTACTTCTACCACCCCCTGAAATGCCCCTAGCGCAGTCACTAATTCCCATGGATGTCTCTCAAGCTTTTTATAACTTGAAAATAAAAATAGGATGAAACACTTGTATGGCAATTACTATGTGCCAGGACTGCTTTAAACACTTAACTCATGTCTACTAATTTAATCACCACAACACCCCATGGGTAGATACTATCATTATTCCCTCCTCACAGAGGAGGACACCAAGACATAAAGAAGTTTAAGTAGCCCTAACCGGTTTGGCTCAATGGATAGAGCATCAGCCTGCGGAATCAAGGGTCTCAGGTTCGATTCCGGTCAAGGGCATGTACCTTGGTTGTGGGCACATCCCCAGTGGGGAGTGTGCAGGAGGCAGCTGATCGATGTTTCTGTCTCATCAGGGTTTCTAACTCTCTATCCCTCTCCCTTCCTCTCTGTAAAAAAAATCAATAAAATATATATTTAAAAAAAAAAAAGAAGTTTAAGTAAACGTGCCAAGATTGCACAATCTCTGTGAGCATTTGCCACTCTGCAGAAGAAGTAGCGGGTCTACCTTTTCCTCCTCTCTCTCTGACCTCTCTCAATCTCTTTTAAGGAATCCTCTTTATTCATCTTGATACTGTCTTTCTGGCTCTCATTTCACACTGCACAACCTCTTTAAGGTCTGTTTACATGCTGATGAACCCTTATCCAGGGTGTCCCACAGGCACCGCAAACTCAACAGGTCCCAAACTGAACTCATCAACCCAAAGCCTACTCCTCCTGCTGTTTTCCTGGTCATTTAGAATGGTATCAGCATTCATTCAGTGGATCAAGCTACAACCTGGAAGCCATTTTTTCTTCAGCTCCCACATGCTGAGTTCCCCAAGTTATTTATTAATTTACATGTACACACACACACACACACACTCTATTCATATCTCTTAAATCCATTTACTTTTCTCCTACTGTGGTCCTTAGTTCACACTCCCATACTATCCCAGCCCAGACTATGACAGCCTTTATCAGTCTCTCTTCCTAGATGCTCCAAACCTTTCTCTGCTCTGCAACCAATGATCTGTCATCATTTCACTCTGCTTGAAATCTTTCAGTGGTTCCCCTCAGCTTTAAGCATAGGTGAGAAGTCTAGCCTGGCTCATAAAACACTGTGGGGTTTTTTAAAAATATATTTTTACTGATTTCAGAGAGGAAGGGAGAAGAGATAGAAACCTCAATGATGAGAATCATTGATGGGCTGCCTCCTGCACATCCCCGAATGGAGATCGAGCCCACAACCTGGGCATGTGACCTTGACCTGAATCGAACCCGGGACCCTTCAGTCCACAGGCTGATGCTCTATCCACTGTGCCAAACCAGCTAGGGCCCATAGGACACTTTGTGATGTGACCCTACTTACATATCCAGCCTCATTCTCTCAGCACTTACTTGGAGGTACATACGCCTTGAAGAGAGAAGTTAGAAAGCTGCTTGTTTTCTTTTAAAGTACACAAGGCCACCAGCTACTAGTTACCAAATCATTTTACATTCAAGTCAATTAACTCCACACAGCCTGCTTATTATATAGACCATAATTCCTCCTAAAATTTCCTCTTTCTTTTGGACCAAGTAGAGGGGAGACTAACAATGAGAAATTATGCTGGTAAATTCACTTGGCAGATATTACAGACCCTCACCTCACAGAGGACATGGAGCAGAGGAACATTAAATAGTAGTCCTCAAGTTTTGCATTCTCATAAGCAAGAGGCATGGGTAGACACAGTAGAAGCAAATCTAGTTGACCCACAGTAGATGATTCACAAATGCCCTACAGAATCATCTGTTTCTGAGGCCTAAATCTGAACCAGCCATTCTAAGGGGTAACATGAAGAAGCTCATCACTTAGCTAGTGAGTAAGACTGGCTGAATGCAAAATGGTCATATCCCAACAAAACTTTTTTTAAAAATATATTTTTATTGATTTCAGAGAGGAAGGGAGAGGGAGAGAGGGAGAGAAACATCAATGATGAGAAAGAACCATTGATTGGCCTTCTGCAGCATGCCCCGCACTGGGGATCGAGCCTGCAACCTAAGCATATGCCCTTGACTGGAATCGAACCTTGGACCTTTCAGCCCGCAGGCCCATGCTCTATCCACTGAGCCAAACCAGCTAGGGCCCAACAAAACTTTTTTTTAAGGGTCTGAATTATAGTTTTAATTTATTATATTTTAAACCACACAGAGGAATTCATTTGCTATCGTAGTATTTGCTAACTTGTGTACTCTCAGATATCACTGGTGAATGTCAATGGCCTACAACCTACTAAATAAGGCAGCATGTGGCCCAAACCAGGTGCACGTGAAAGGAGCAGGAGGTCACCTGAGCCCAGAGCAGAGAAGGATGGGAGATATGACATCTAAATTTGGTTTTGAAGGATAGTGAGAGCTTAAAATAGCAAAGATGGGACTGAGGGACCTCTAGCCAAATCCCATTCATACCTCTTCAAATATCCATGATTCAGATTTGAAATGTATCTGAAAGAACATGCCAAATTTTCAACACCTTCTGAAGCCTCAAGTAAGGACAGGATAGGATAGCTTTCACCTTGGCACACGGGTAAAGCTGACCAGCCCTGTCAACCTCACTCAGAATAACGTGGCCAGGAATGCCTGGGGGGGGAATGATGAGTCCAGGGGAAGATGGTGCAGTGGGTTCCCACACCTGCCTCTCTTTTCAACCTGGGCTACCAAGAGCTAAACATCAGAGGGTTTCTACTTCAAAGGTTCTGAGATACTGCTGACAAGCTCAGTTTTTCTACTGGGTGAAAAATTTGAAGTATCAAGCATTTTCCTTCAAGATTTTTGGGGAAGGGCAAGCGCTATGGTAAAGAAAGGGAAGGAACAGGGGAATAAAGGAAGAAATGCAAGCAGAAGTGCAAAGCCACAGTTACCTTTCCTTGCTGCAGCCTCTTTCCTGAGTTTCCTCAATTTCTCCAAGGCCCGAAGAATGTCCACCATTCTTTTGGTGTCTGCTTGTTTTTTCCTCACTTCAGACAAGACACCATCGGCAGCAGCTTTAAGTTCCTGCTCCTGGGGAAGAAAGAGAGCCCATGAGAACAGCTGCCCAGCAGTGAGATTTTAGAGAATCAGACAGTCCCAGGGTTAGGAAAGATTCTACTGGACTTACACCCCAATTCCCTGGGCCATGCCCAAAACACCTCTCTACACTGGTCCAGCCAAAGAATTATCCTCTCTGCACTTCCACCTGGACACTGGTCTTTTTTCTTCCTCAGAGTTTCTAACGTGTGGTCCAAGGAACATCTGCATTCAACTTACCTTGATAAGTTGGGGCTCTCATTAAACAGGAAAACACCTGGCCCTGGCTGGGGGTCCCAGTTGGCTGGAGCATTGTCCTATGTGCCAAAAGGTTGTAGGTTCAATTCCCAAACAGGGCGCATACCTAGGTTGCAGGTTCAATCTCCAGTTGGGGCATGTACAGGAAGCAACCAATCAATGCTTCTCTCTCAGACCAATGTTTCTCTCCCCGCCCCTCCCCCCCGCCCCTGTCCTTCCTCTACTAAAACAAATAAACATATCCTTGGGTGAAGACTTAAAAAAAAAAAAAAAAAGGAGACACCTGGATCCAAAGATGGAGGATAGCAGGGAAGATAAGGAATCTTATCCTACATAATAAAAGGCTAATATGCAAATCGACTGAACTGCAGAATAACCTGTCGCTATGACATGCACTGACCACCAGGGGGCAGACAATCAACGCAGGAGCTGCCCCCTGGTGGTCAGTGCATCACCACAGGGGGAGCGATGCTCAGCCAGAAGCCGGGCTCAGAGCTGGCAAGCGCAGCAGCGGTGGCGGGAGCCTTTCCTGCCTCTGCAGCAGCGCTAAGGATGTCTGACTGCTGACTTAGGCCCGCTCCCCACGATGCACAAATTTCATGCACCGGGCCTCTAGTGGAGTTATAAAAGCCCAAGACTCTACAATGCTCAGTGACAACCTAAAATACTCTACTGCCAAGAATCTCTTCAACATGACAGCCTTTCAAACATCTGAAGACCCTATTGTACTCTTCTTAAGTTGGTTCACATGTAGATAAATAATTCTGGTTACTCTAAGGCTAAGCCAAGCATGTCAAACTCACAGCCATGCCTCGTTTATTTAAATCATGCTTGCTCTAAGCCATTACTCAAAGGACTCTGTCTCTAACACCCTCACCATAGATGGTAGGGAGGATGCTTTTGCCTAAAGCTCTCTTTCCCATCTCTCAAATCAGCACTGTAACTGCACCATTTCAGCTACCATGCTGTTTCACTCTTCTTGCCTGAAAGGCACCTGTTGCTCTCACTTGGCTTTGACATTTCCTTTAAGACTCAGTTCAGTTGTTACTTCATCATCCAAACCTTCCCTGACACCTTCCCCAAAGGATTAGCTATTCCTTTTCTGGGCTCCTATAGCACCTACATGTGAAATCGTAACGCACAATGCTATACAGACATGATACCCCATGGGGCTCCAAGACCCTCAAGGACAAGCACTATGTCCCATCTATCTCTATCCCCAGCACCCTGCACTGGGCCTGGTACTTAATGGGCCCTCATTAAATGTCTGAACTGACTCAAACTCTCTTAGATTAAGGCCTTGCCTCCAAGTATTCTTAAAAGCACCGATGTTTTGGGGGGGGCTTGAAAACAAAGCTTGACATCAATACACTTCAGAGGGGGAGTTACATCAGACTCTAGGGCAGTAGCAGACACCAGGAGAAGGGAGAGGAGGAAACACTAGCTGGTAGTGGAGTGGAGGAAGGGGGGACGTGGAGGCACGCAAAGGTAATGACAATGTCTTAAACAACTATCTGACCAATTTCCAGTTTCACTCTGGCCCCCACTTAAGAGTTTGAGATTAACAAGTTTTCTTCAAATCACACAACCTGGGCTCAAATCAGAAGTGAAACTGCCACAAACCAATTTGTGTGGTTGTTGGCAGGTTAACTTCCTTATGCCTTACTTTCCTAATCTGTAAGATTGGGATAATACCACCTACCTCTCCGGGTTATTACCAGGATTCAAGATCTGGTGTATGTAACGACCTTAGCACAGTGCCTAGTATATAATAAGTGCTCAAAAAACACCATTGTTGAATCTCAAGATTTGTGGTTTAAAATTCGTAAACAAAGGATTTCTGGGGAAATCATCACTATTGACCCATAAGCCAATTAGGATGTATGTTCCTTAAGGAAAGGCCACAAGTTCTCTATGTATTGTATTTTTAAAGTCACCGAGGGTCCAGCCGGTGTCGCTCAGTGGTTAAGCGGGTACTTATGAACCAGGAGGTCACCAATTCCCGGTCAGGGCACATGGGGGGGTGGGGGGACGTGCAGGAGGAAGCAGATCAATGATCCTCTCTCATCATTGATGTTTCTCTCTCTCTCTCTCCCTCTCTGAAATCAATAAAAATATCTTTAAAAAAAATAAAAGCACCAGATGCTTTAGTCTTGAGTGCTGGTGTCAGAATGTCGGTGCAGATCTGTCATCCCTGCAACGCCCCTGTGTAATCCTCCTACATAATGTACACAGGGCTCTGCAGTGCACCTACAGCATTGGTGTTGCTACTATTCATTACTAACACGCAATCAATACGGAGCTATGAGGTCGGAAAGGCAAACTATCTTTTTACTTTACAAGTGAAGATAAGGAGGCGTAGCCCTGGGAAATGGCAGCGCAAAGCCTCGTGCCCCTTCACGTTCCAAACGCCAGTACCCTCACCCCCGTGCGCAACCGCTGCTCTTACCCGCTTCTTCTCCTCCACCTCCTGGACGCACTTGACCCGCCAGCGGTCAATCTCCTGCTCGCGCTCCGCCGCTCGCGCGG